CGGAAACAAAATCTTTGTAAATAGGGAGGGATGGAGGGGTTGAAGGGAGGGCAGGGGAAGGGGGAAAAATAAGAAACAAGAGAGATTATGTAAAGGTACAAATTTCCAATGAAGAATGAAATTATATTGTCTACCTAAAATGTACCAATGAAATTAATTTTAAAAAAAGAATATTATTTCATGACAGGTGAAACACAACATTCTCTTGTTTACATATTTCCCAGAACTACCTTTATACTATAGTGGAAGAGCTGAGTAGTTCCGTCAGAGGCAATACAATCTATAAAGCCAAACATTCTAACTTACTCTTTACAGAAAGATTGCCAAACTCAGATAGTTTTCTGAACACTGGCCCACTGTATGTATATAAATTGAGCTGTCTTCCTATATCCCACCATACACAAAGTTGAAAAGTATAAAGGGATTTGAGATGAAGGATAAAACTAAAATATTGCATAAAATGCAAAATATTTGTGACCTAAGAGCAATGACTTCTCACAAAAGATCACAAAAGCACAAATCATAAGGATTCATATCCTTAATTTGATGTCACAACCCCAAAAGTGACTGTCATCCAAAGGGAATAAAGTTAAGAGACAGATAAAGACTGGAAGGAGGAGGGATTACAATACTTAAAGTGGCAGAGAATTAACATCTCAAATTTACAAAGACCGCTTGCACACTAACCAAAACTGGAGAAGATGTGAAAGTACACAAAGGGCACCGCCCCCATTGTACTTAGTTCCTTTCCCCACATGATCTTTATTATATGTGCTGCTGAAGCGAGCACTCCCCTATGATCTTTATGATGAAAATTTTTTTTTTTTTTTGTACTGGGGATCGAACTCGGGTCCTTGAGCTTGCGGGGCAGGTAGTGGAATCACTGAGCTAAATCCCCAGCCCTGAAAACTGTTCTTTATAACTTTAATTTTATTTTATCCCCCCTCCCCCCTCCCTGTGTACAGAAGCTTTGTTTCCATTTTTTCTTTCTATGTTCACTTTTTCTTGTTCCTTCTTTCCTTTCTCCCTCCCTCCTCCCTTGTGATGAATATTGTTTTTGTCTGCCTCTCAGAAACTTTGCTGCATTTCTACTATTAGCTCACTTTTTCTAAACTAAAGTTTTTTCTTTGCAGTTGTGAATCAGTGAAACTTTCCTATGAAGGCAACTTGCTAGAGAAATTTATGATCTCTGGATTTTAAACTTAAAATGCCGTATCATTTAGACTATACTCGAGCACAAGAGTCTTGTGTTATTTGATCATTATGAAGCTGAGTGAGAAATGAGGCAAGATCTTTAACATAAACAAGTGACCTTTTGAAACTGAAAACATAATGCCTACTGTGAACCAAATTTACTAATTCAGAATGATTGGATTGGTTGCCTAGAAAGTAGAATTCCTATCTCTTACAATGCATGATATTCAAACCCTCTAGTCATCTGACTTGAACTACATTTTTATTCTCACTCTCTTTTTCTTTTCTGTTCCCAGATCCCTCCTACACTCAGGTTAAATATTTCCTAGAACCTTGCTACTTAACAGTGATGCACGGACAGCAGCAGCATCCTGTCAGAAATCCAGAGCCCGGGGTCCCGCTGAAGCAGCGTGCTGCAGTAAGATTCCCTGGCCAGTCACAGGCACAGTAACTTTTGAGGTTTTCTGCCTCTACTGTGTTCTGTAAAAATTTATTATTTATTTTTAAATGATACTTCTGTACCTAGTGATAATATCATTTATAGCTATTTATGTAAAATGTATCTCTTCTCCATTTTATGAAGCTATAGATTGTTATGGATGTGAAACTTTACAGAATGTCCTTCAGATCAAGAAAGCTACTGAAAGGCAACAACTATTCTAATCATGTCTATCAGTGTAGCAATATGGTGAGAATAAAGGTTTTGGAAGTTCAAAGCCCTGAATATAAATCTTGTACTTGTTGGGTGAGGGATTTAGCTTAGTGGTTCCGCCACCTGCCTATCAAGTGCAAGGTCCTGAGTTCCATCCCTGGTACCCCCCCCCCCTCCAAATCTTGTACTTGCTAACCTGCTCTGTGGGTGACTTCAGGAAAGCAACAAACCTCTCTGAACCTATTTTCTCACATCAGGAGGGAGCTGGTAATACATGGAATATACTCATGGCCTTCTTTGAGCTAGCCTTTATAAACCATCCTAGGCATCTAGGAGCTGATCATACTGAGGGCTTTTTTGAAGCATGGAGCCTTTGTACATGGTAGATTTTCTTAATAAACGCAGTACTAACTATGAATTTTCTTTTTAACTACCTACTGGTAAGCCATTCAATAGAATGGTCTTGGCTGTAAAAAACACAATGAGAAACTTATTGATGCAAAAAAAATACATAAACAACTTTGTCCTAGTTTACAGTCCGTTTCTAATGGGGTTGTTGCCTATAGAAAAGTCCTAGAAATTTGGAGCTAGTAGATTTGTTCCTTAATGGCAATTTTTTTTGAATTTATGATGCTTCAAAAAATTCTTTAACATAAAAGTTATCAGATATGTACGATTTCATACAGTCTACCGCTAACACTCTTCATAAGCACAGAGCTGAAACATTTTCTCTCCTTTTCTTCTTAGAGGAACCAAAACTGCACCTCTCTGTTCACCCACTTTGGGGACCGTGGCGGTGTGGACTCTTTCAATCTGTCCCTACCGGGGGCAGCGACTTTTTAAAGAGAGTCAATTATGTGCACGTTTGAGTCTATTCAATAGTTTTTACCTGGTCTTTGCCCTAGGTAAACCCGGAGCCCTTTTAAACATGGCCTTGATCTTTGATGCTGCTTCGACTTCGTGAAGATGAGGGGAGGGATTCCCCAGGGAAGAGTCCGAGCCGGTTCTGTCCAAACCTTCAAGTCACCCTCACCTTCTGTTGAACAGCATAGCCTTGGGCTGTGTACTTGAACCCTTTTTCTTGAGTGGGAAGAGGAGGGGCTGTGGCCAGGTGCAGGGGCTAAGCCAGCCTCGACCGCGAGGGCGCCTCCTGTTGCTCTTCCTGGTGCTTTTTTTTTTTTTTTTTGAGACAACGTCTGGCTTTGTCTTTCAGGCTGGCCTCAGACTCGAGGTGATCCTCCTGCCTCAGCTTCCCGAGTGCTGGGATTACAAGGGTTCACCACCGCGCCCTGCCTCCGCGTACTTTTAAGGTCTCTAAAACACTGAACCTCCTATGGAGTTTCTGGATCTGGCGCTTCAGAACGGACCCCGGGGCTGGGGTGTAGCTCGGCAGTAAAGCGCTGGGCTGGCGAGAGCGAGGTGCTGGGCTCATCCCAAGCAGATCAATCAGTCAGTCAATCAATGGGTGCCTCCGGAATGAATGAACTTAGTCGCTTTCGGTGAAGTCCGAGAGGGAAAGGACCACGGGACACGGCACCCACACGCTTCTGGGTGTTCTGTGTTCCCCAGAGCACCGGAATTGGAGGACCAGAGAAACCGGGCCGAGATGGGCGGAAAGAACGGAGAGCGGGCGGGGAGCGGGCCGGGTGGCCTGCGACGGGGCGGGCGGGCGGAGGGTGCGGCCCGCTCCCGGCCGCCCCCGCTCAGAAGGCTCCTTTCCCCGCAGCCCGCAGACGCCCGGGACGCCCGGAGCCCCGTCCCCCGGGCACGGGGGGGCGGGGCAGGTGCGGCGCCCCGAGGAGGCGCCAAGCCGCGCCATGCCCGGGCGGGTGGAGTCGCTGGACCTGCGGGTGAGGAGCCGCGCCCTGGGCCGGTCCTGGGGGCCCCGCCACGGGTCAGTACCCCGAGCGCCAGGCCCGCCCACCCCTCTGTGCCTCGGTCCCGGCGCCGCCTCCCGGGGATCGCTCGGGCCGGGGATCCTGGGCCGCTGCCGGCTTAGGTAGGAGAAGGGGCGCCTTCACGCAGAAGGCTCTGGCTCCGCGGGGCGCGGTCCCGGGGCCGGGGCGCAGGGAGGCTTCCGCTGCTCCGCCTGCGCCCGAGACCGCGGGAAGTCTGGGGGGCGGATGCTCAGCCCGGCGGCCGTGTCCTGCCCCCGCGCCGAGGCGCCCCGAGGGAGGACGCGGCCCTCCGGTCAGCGGTCAGCGGGCCCCGCGCCGCATCTCTCTAGGGGTCCGGTCTCTGGACAAAGCCTGCTGAAGTCTGCAGTCCTGGGTCTGAACTTTCCTGCCCACACTGACTGCTGGCAGTTAGTTAAACGGGCCGGGCCGGGCCTTCCGGGACAAACAGGCCCTTTCTCAGGTGGGAGGTGTTGGGGGGCCCCGCCCCAGCTTCTCGGTCTTCGCGGACAGGCGCGCAGTTCAGCCAGGTGGCGCTGCCAAGGGCCCCTCCCACGGGGTCAGGGCTCCCACCCAGCCGCTCAGTGCCAAAGGGCCTCAGCTCGTGCTGCCCGGCTCTCAAAACGAACAGTGGTGGCTTGTTCAACTTTGCTGAGGTAGTGCTGAGACTTTCCTACCCTTCCTGCGTGGTGCTGTCCATGTTATACATGGAATTACAGCCAGCAAAGAAAGCCCGAAATCAAGAGGAGAATTCACCAGGTGCGTGCTGGCTCTCCGGATGAATTTCGAGTTAGTCTGGCATATCTTTATTAGACTTTTGAAAGAGCACTTTTGAATTGGTGAAACTTTACCGGCCACTGGATACCTGTGTCACACCAAAATGACCTGTGTCACACCAAAATGACCTGTGTCATGTAATTAGTAAACTCTTTCTTAATGCTGAGGTGTCTATTTTTAATGGGCCGGGTGGGTAGAAGTTAAACTCTCTTTCCGTCTGTCTTACGCCTCAGTGCACTGTCTTAAAAAGCAGGGAGCAAATGGACTTTGGATTTATTTACCCTCTTCTGCTTGGGCTGAAAAACCACTTGTGCTCATTCACGGTGGGTGTGGCATATAATCTCTACTTGTATCTCGATTCTAGTGTATTTTTTTCCCACACCACATTTCCTTCAAAGCTTAAATGGTTTTTAACATATCCTGTGAATATCTTCAGAAGCAGCACTCACTGTTAAAGAGCATAGAGTTGGGTGTGCACGTCAACAGCTTTGGAAGGTTTTCCAGTTTGAAACATACTATTCATAGATGTTTGTGCGGTACTGTGGGAGGCAAGGCTGTATGTCATTGTAAAATGAGACTGAAAAAAGCATTAGTAAGTGAGAGGTAGGACGTGTTGGCTGTTATTTGTGGGTATCAGAATGCAAATGCTGACATTTTATGTAGAAGGGGCAAACTATGTAATTCTCACAGATGTGCTAACCAAATAGTTCAAATTTTGGGCCGTCTGGCAGCTTCTTCCTGTTGAGCCAGAGGTCTGTTAAGATTTTGGCTCATCTTCCTTTTCTTACCTTACAGGGAGTCAGACATTCCACAGGCCCACCTTTCTCCGTTAGCAGATCTTCCATAATCCAAGTTCAGTGTCCAGATCTCTTTAAAAACAGGCACTTGATCCAAGTTTTACCCACCCATTCTAGAGAGCATCCTAACGATGCCATTTTATTTCACCTTCCCTACTAACAAAATGGTCAGTCCAGGTAAGACGAGGTAGTCACATTCCTTTTCCCCAAAGAGTATCTCAGGTGTTGTTTTTACAAATACACTAGCAGATGTAAAATATCCTAGTGGAGCAAGTAAGAAGACCTGGGGGAAAAATTTTGAACTGAGTGGTGGAGAATATAGAACTGCAAATCAAGGATGATCCATATTCACAAACTAACTAACTTGCCTAATCACTCCTTCGTCAGTGAAGTGAAACCTTAACTAAGAATATTTTGAAAGCTTTGTGAAAAGCTGGTGGTGACTTGTGGCACTAGTTTTCAAAGTAAACACGGTGGCCAAAGAAAAACCTTAATGGCTATAAAAATTAAAAGCTAACTCTTCCCTGTAGCCAGGCTGTTCTTTTTAGCTGAGGTCTACAGTTTAAGTTCCATGTGTCAGTTCTGAAGAATTAAATGACACTTTAGAAAGTACTTGTTTCACATATTGGGAAAAAGTAGCTTTGTTTGCGGGTTGTATTATTTTTTTAAGTCCAGCTGCACTAGTCTGTTCAACATCAGATGTTTCCATTTTTTTTTTTTTTTTTTGCTTTGGCAACTGTCTGGGTTTTTTCTTCCCATTTTGAGCTTTGAGCTGAACTGTCTACTGTATTGAGGTTGGGCCTGAGTCCCCTTCTTCCTGGTATGAAGTGACTACCTCAGAGGCCCACCTTTGTTTCCTCTCAGTTGGGTGAGCTGCTTCCTTTCTGCTTTGACAGTTGTGGGGTTTTCCCCCCTTGACTGTATCGTAGTGGTTTTGGCCTAAACATCTACCAGGCATTAATTGGTAACCTGTGAGACTGAAGAGCATGGAAAATTGTCTTTGGGCTAATAGTTCTAGGAGACACACAATTTAAATGATAGACTTAAAAATAATATCACCTTTCCCAGTTAGAGGGGTTTCTAGAGATGGTGTGAATCTAGGTATTCACCAATATGACACTCAGGTAGCACGTCCAAAATTAAGGTAAATTCAATGCCTTGAAGGGAAAATGCTATTTATGCACAGTATAAACTTCTTTTACTTAGGGAGAGCCATTAGCATGACCCTATTAAATCAGTTATTTACTGGAAATATCAGAGAAAGAAAAACCTTAGGAAATTCCATAATTCCAGCTGTCCTCCCCAGCTTTAACTGCATTTGGATTCCTGTACATCTGAGAGGTGCAGTTTACCTTGTACTTGTGTCTGTCCCTGAGAGCAGATTCCTCATGCCTTCAAAAGGAGTGTGGCTTTTTGAGAGTGAGACTTTTGAAATGTGCAGCTGCAGTTCTGCTTTCTGGTAGTCTGAGGCAGCAAAGGGATCAGGGATGATTTTATAGGAACTTGGTGTCATTATTTTTAGGGAAATTCCTAAAAATTTTGCATTTTCATCTTTTGTGAGTGGCACTAGTGGAAAATGAAAAGTCCCTTTGGCTTTTCTTCAGGGTACTTTTTAGGGTTTGAATGACCACATCATTTATGTTGAGAGAGATATGCAAAAGGTAACTAAAAGTTTCTTGGCTCCCCCTAACTTCCTTTCTTTGGGGCCCAACAACCCCAGAGCCAGAGCAAACTGTACTTATTTTTCTTTCTCTCTTACAAGACTAGCAGATCACGAGGAAATTTGTTCATAGTAGGAGTTGGAGTGAAAAGATCATGTGACAGTTGTTAGGGTTGGTCCAGAGTCTTCCATCTGCTAGATTGTCCCCGACAGCCATCCTAGGGCCAACTCTCTAACCCCTACCCACCACACACAAACTAAGGGCAAGGAAAAACTTCACTGCCTAATACACGTTAGACTCTTTTGGAAAAAGCTGATTTTAACTCACAATGATAACTCATGAATTTACAGATGTTAATCACCAACAATGAAGAAAATAGGGAAAATTTGATAAAGAAAATTAAGATCATCATACTTCGCAAAGGAACCAAGGTGTGTTTTGTTTTTGTTTGTTGGTTTATGCACTTCTAGACTTTCCAAAATGTTTCTGTTTAAACATAAAGGCTGAGTTTTTGAAAAATAGAATCTTTATATCAATTTTATAATATTTTAAAAATATTTAATAATATATTCTAGATATTTTCAAGTTAATACATAGTTACAAATAGGCCTGCAATTAATATTTATGTAACTATCTTTCTGACCAGATATTTTAAAATTTATAGATAAATCTACAGAAGTTTGATTCCTAGATCACCGATACTCTTAAAACTAATACCCAAGTACCTTTCAAAATTTACATTCCCTTCAACAGAGTTTGTCTCCCATACTTGATAAATATAAATTAAGGTAGACTTTTACCAGTCTGATTGTTATCAAATTTTTGTTGTTAGTAAATAACCAGTGGCTTGTTCAGATCCTTTGCCTGTTGTATTGGGTTGTCTTTTTTGTATTAGTAGTTTAGAGCACTTCACGGGGAAAAGAGAGTAAACTTTTCCCTGCTTAAATGTCTTGCAGGCTTTTTTCCCCAGTCTGTTTGTCTTGTAACTTTTTGAAGTCTTGAATTTTATGTTAAGGTCTGTCAGTCGTTTTCATGGCTTCTGAATTTTTGTCATATTTAGAAAGGCATGTTAAATTATTTTAAAAATTCTATAACCTAGACTTTTATCAATAATATTTTAATGTGTTTGAATTTCTTTTTTTTGCATTCAGTTTGAGGGAGGACTCTAACTTTCCAATGGATAGCAAATTGTTGTGATAACAATTCATTGAATAATTCATTTTTTGGAAAGACATTAGGAGTAGTGATTAAAACAAAATAAGGTTTCTATCAGCAAGCCAGGCAACTTATTTTCCTAGAATTCTCTAATGTACCTTGGCTGAGCAAGACTTTGATGCATTTTAAATTCAGTTTTTCATATCAATATTTTAGGTTTTCTGTTATTTTATTTCTGTAATAGTATCACTGTTATTATTTGATATTAAAACAAGGAAACCCTATATTGTTTCATCCACTGACTTCTTTTTTCCAAGAAATAGTCATTGAACACCTGTTATGTGTTAGGTAGTCTGCTGTCTCTATATAGTGAGAAGCAAGACTGAGATTTCAAAAAGGGAAGATCAATAAAGATTCTGATGTTGGCTATGAAGGAAATTGAGGGAAATGAGAGGCAGTGATGGGGCTCATGTAATAGAATAGTCAGGGAGTCCACTCTAAGAGTTTGAGCTAAGAAGTGACACATTAGAAGGAACCAGTTATACAGAGAGCTGGGGAAACAGCAGGAGAGTAGTTGGAACAACAGGTGGAATTATCCTCCCAAATGGA